ACATGGTATGTGGTGTGTGTATGTGTGTGTGTGTGTGTGTGTGTGTGTGTGTGTGTTGTAGTGGAGGGGAAGAAATTAGATTAAATGACTTTTGATCCTACTTCTCTGACATTAATGACCATATAAACCATAGATTCCTTGCAAAGTCATGTTCAGTAGGTCTAGGTGACATGAAATTCTGCATTTCTAACAGACTCCCAAGTAATTCCCAGGCCACTGGCCACAATTAGTTTAATTAATTAATTAATTTATTCTGCACCTCTGACCATTTATTTTTTATTTTATGTTTTGGTACCGGGGATCGAACTCAGGTCCTTGCGCTTGCTCAGCAGGCAGCAAAACCACTGAGGTAAATCCCCGGCCCCTACCTCTGACCATTTATGACAATATGGAGTTTGTTAATTGTAACTATGCTTCATATTGATGATTCCTGTGTATATGTCTTTACCTTATGAAATCCTCATAAGGCCAGCTTTAATGATAAGAAATTTCCAGGATATATAGAGGTCTTAATTACTAATTACTAAGTGGGTGAGCAATGGCATTGATAGAACCAGCCAGGATGGCTGAGGCAGAAAGTTAATGGTGAGTGTTTGCTGAACATAATTCTAAGAAGCTGCTGTCAGGATTCACTGACAGATTGGATAATGTGATATGAGAGGAGAGGGGAATCAGAGTTGACACAAGACTTTGGCCTAATAAATATGTTGGATGAAGTTCCCCTTCACTGGGTAATGATGATTGTGGAAAGAGCTAGTTTGGGAGGGTGGATGAGAGAATCACCCTGTGTGTTAGTCTGTGTTGCCTGATGTACACTCAGAGGGCCATTGTTCATAGGTTACAGACATTGGAGGCAACAAAGAAACCTAATGCTGGAGATGAAGTTTGGGTGTTATCAGTGTGTGGATGGTATTTACGTTTGTTATCTCATTCAAAGATCACAGCAACTCTATGGATCTGGTATTATTATTTTCATTTTAGTGACAGGGTGATTGAGTGGAGTCTAGGTCACTGCTTCAAGGCCACGCAATCATTAAGTGAAGTCTGGCTGTCTCCACAGAAGAATGCCAAGGACCGCATGTCCAGGGCAATTAGTGGCAAGGAGCCGTCAGCAATGTCGGTGAGAAGTGTGTCAGGGGAGGTTGAAGGCAGAAGTCAGACTCACAGTGCAGCACCTGAGCAGACCTGAAGAAGGAACAAGCAACTCTGATGTATATTGCAGGCTCTGTGTGTTCCTCAGATGCTGAACCTTAGAGTTGTGGGACTGCAATGCCAGACTGACTTTGCTAGGATATCCCTGCTGGGCCACTGCCTTCTGTGAGGTTTCTCTGGAAGCCAACACCCTTTACTTTGTTTTTCTAATGGCATGCTAAATGTTCAACAAGTGTTTGCATTGATCTAAATGTACAATTTCCCCTATGCAATGGTAAAGAATCTGTACTCTACCAGCAAGCTTGAGCAAATGAGTGTGTGCTTGGCAAGAGGGGTCGTGGTGAGGACTGATGCTTATTTAGGGAGGAGAGTCACAGGGGCAGCTATGCACATGGTGCCTTGTGGGACTCATACAAGCAAGGCCTGACTAGAGATGAGAAGTCAGTGAGTTCCCAGAGTAAAGGAAGTAGAAGCGATCCCTCTTAAGACAGCTGCTCACAAAGCAGGTATGAGGTATGCACTAAAGACTAAAATTTCTGCATCAAAGCTGGAAGAGAAAGAGACAACTAGTCAACCGGAAAATCTACCCAGTGTAACACTTCTCCATGCTTGTCCTGCAGGGGTTGGGGCCTGGAGGGAATATGTCTGCCACAAAAATGGATTCAGCTGCACACAGTTCAAGACTTGAACCCTTGCTAGACTGAAAGCAACCAGAGCACAGGTTTTGTGATTGTTATTTTGCTGGTGAAACTAAATGCTTCATAATTTTTGTTGATAAATGAATGATGGTAAGTGGCTGTTAATGTCAAAAAAGCTTAGCAAAAAGGCATCCATAAAGGCCTGGCTGTGTGTCTTTAACTTGGTCAAAGAAGTGGTTCTTTCTTAATATTAGCATGCAATATTATATAGTTGGAAGTTAATAAATATTTTAGAAATTATTGCAACAAGGGCTCTAGTTATTAGAAGATTAAATCATATGGGTAAAGAATGTTTAGCTGGATTATACATATCAGTCTTTGAGAGTTTTAGTTGTTTCTGCCAGGGAAGGAGCCAAGTATGAGGACTGTATTCCCCTGTTACTGCACCTTCCAAAACCTGATGTCAGATACTTCAGTTGTAGCAAAAAGTAGCTTCTCTTTTGAAGAAAGAAGGTATGGTTTTCAAATCTAACTTAGGTTAGTGGAGAAATAATTCATTCACCAAAAGGTCTGGACATGATCCCAAAGTTCAGTATGGCTAAGTCCATACAGTTTGAGAATGGAAGGAACAGATTCAGGGAATTATTAGAGTCAAATCAGAGAAATTCGGTAGAAGCTATGCCCAGTTTCCCTCCAGAATACTAAACGCTTGCTCGGATTGGATTTCAGAGCTAGCAGTGAAAGAGAAGGGACTGGAAATTGACTTCACCTGCCCACCGACCCTGACTAATGTGCTCACATTTGTGCCAGGCAGTTCCCTCACTTACCACTGTTGCTGCGTTTCCTTAGCTCGTACCCTTCTCCCGGCCCATCCGCTTCTTCAGGAACTTCCACGAGATCTGAAGTCTTGGAAGAAAGAGGAAACAGCTTGGCATAAGCAAAATTTTATCACTGGGACAACTGAGCAGTGATTTTGATGTCGGCAAAAAAGCAAAAGTGGAATTTGCATGATGTTTGTGAATCTGATGATAGCCCTCTTGTCTGAGGCTAACTTCATAGAGAATGTGTGACCCTCTTGGGCACTGTCCTTCCCTTCAGGTATGTGTGGCAGGATCAGGCTTGACCATGATAGGCACTCAGTGAATGGGCGCCTAAATGTACAACCCACAGTTAGGGTTCTTCCCAGGTGCAGGCAACAAGGAACAATCAGAATTTCTACCCATAACCTACCATTTAGAATTTTCAATGAAACCACAGCTTTTTTAACAGATGAATTTTAGATATCAATTACAGAGAATAAGGTACACTGTAGATAGAATGCACTAAACAGTAAAATGCAAATGAATTGTTTTTATAATAATTGTTTTACCACATAGAAAATAAGCCATAATAATTTCCACTTAGATTATAGAAATAACAAAGACAATAACAACAATAGTAGTAACACCCAAAATAGCTAATGATTCCTGATTATTAAGTATGTGCTATTTTTTTTGGTACTGGAGATCGAACTCGGGTCCTTGCGCTTGCACAGCAGGCAGAGAAACCACTGAGCTAAATCCCTGGCCCAATTTTATTTTTTTTTTGTTTGGTACCGGGAATCGAACTTGGGTCCTTGTGCTTGCGCAGCAGGCAGCTAAACCGCTGAGCTAAATCCCCAGCCCCTATTTTTAAATACTTGTATGTATCACCTATTTATTCTTCACAATAATCCTATGATAGACCCATTTTTTTCAGAAAGGAATCTGAAACCCAGAATTGTAACTCAACTTGAAGTCCCACAGATAATGGGGAATAGAGGTAGGATAGCAAGCTCCAAGCATTGCACTAGAGCTTAGGCTCCTGAGCAATGTTTCATCCAGTGATGACCTGTCTCCATGGCTCCATGAGCTTCCAGGGTCATTGGTAGCACAAAATTAATCATGGTGGGGATATTTACACTACAGAATTGGCAAACGCTACCTGCTCCAACTTGGCAGTTAAACATTTACCAGCACGACATTGATTGCTTCTTTCAAAGGGCCAGGTTATATATACCTTCTGTCTACCTGGCTCCAATCCTCTTTAGAGAAGAAAAAATAATGTTTGAAAGCAACAACTACTTGTATGTTATTAGAGGGAACAAGTTTACCTTCCTGCTATCCTAGTCAGCTCCAGAGCACTTTAGCACCAGTATCCAAGATTCATTTTTGTTAAAGTTTAGCTTTAGGATTTTTTCATTCAGTTTTACTTTCATGACACATCAGAAAAAAAATAATGAACAGCACAAACAGTACAGGGTCTCTAAGTCACTCACACCCTACTCCCTTTGAAGCTCATAATTTCTGCACAAAAGTTACTCTGCTGAGAATTTCATTTATTTTAATTTAGTCTTATGAAACTGAAGATTATTCGTAAGCAAATGAAGTAACTCCCAGAATGTTTGTTTGTTTGTTTGTTTGTTTGGTTTCCGTGGGCCTCTTATGTCTTTTATATTCAAGGAACAAACATATTAAAGAAAACATGATTTGGAAACAGGCAATGACTTCCCAGACAATGTAAAACAAATGTCTCTATAGTCCTGAAAGTAAATAAACCTGTGGAATAATGCTCTGAAATGTGGGAATATGCTAGCTTTAGGACATAAAAATGCTAAAGAATGGCAAGAGGCTAAAGTTCATTATCATGTGACCCTGCAGGAAGCATGTAAAATCATTTTAAAGTACTAATCAATTGTTTTTGTTTTCTTCTACTAAGGCAAGTTGGACTTTGGGGAAAGAATGAAGTGACAGATGTTTAAATACAATTTAATTTGTCTTTGTCTCTATGAAACTCTCAGAACAATGGCTTCATTAAGCAAACCTCTGAAAAATATTCAGTGATACAACCAATGCCAGTGTAACCATACACTGACAAATGACAATTTATTAACATTCAGAAACTATGCGGGTTTTTGCCCTTAAAGTCAATCCATATGGTCCAGATGTTGCTAGAAACAAAGCTATATTAGAGATGAAAGCAGCTGAGCATCCTTCAGTTGTCTCTCTGATGGTCTTGCTGCTTCTTAGCACCAGCCAAAAATGTAGCAGCTGAAATGTTCATTGCCTACTATGGAATGTGTCTGAAAATGTCTCCTTGTTACAAGTTCAGCAAGAACCACAGGTGCAGACACCTGTTGTTTATGTGGATAGTTCGGGGTAATCACAGGGGAGCCCCTTCTCTGCCCTCATCTCTCTGTTTTAGATTTCCATTTCCCCTTCTGCCAAGGGGGTCTTCACATAAACACTTGCTGTGGCAGACAAAACAGGATGTAGAAATTACAGGCCTGCTCAGAGTGCAGTTTCAAGTGCACAGAGATTCTCTGCTCTGGTCAGTTGTATTTGTGCTTTCCTTTTGAATTTCTGGGTGGTATCTACAAAAGTCTTGATTTGTAAGGGGTGGGGGGAGATGGCTTCAGGCTCCAATCCAGTTATATGTAGCTTTTGGAGGAAGCAACTCATTGACAGCAATTTCCCTTTTCACTCTCTGAGAAAGATGTAATATGGTTCGTGGGCTTAGGGAAATAGTTAGCATTTTTCAATCTCTGTTTCAAACATCAGATCCAGCCTGCTGGCCACCATAAATGTGTGATTCCAAAGCACTGCACACAGAGGGCCCAAGGACAATTATGAGCAAGAAAAGAAGAATATGAGAAAGAAAGGGGAGAAAGCTGACTGAGGCTGATTTCCTTGGAAGCAAACTTATGTCCTTAATTTAACTCAGTACTTCTCAAACTTACACGTATAACAGAATCATCTGGAGGGTTTTTGTTAAAATGAGATTATTGGACCACCAAAGTACATCTAAGTGGGAAACTCAGATTTGTACTTCTAACATGTTCCCCAATAATACTGATGTGCTGCATACACTGAGAACCACTGATTCAATTTGTTGTCAGCTTAGGACTTGCTTAGAAATTTAGAGGATCTGATGGGGGCATTCATTTGTTCATTCATTCACCAAATATTTAGTCAGAATATACAATAGGGTAATGCTGTATAGACTAATGGCTTTCAAATTTTGGTGGGTATTGGTGTCATGTGAACAACTGATAAAGCCCATTGAATCCCAGCCTCACTGAAGTAGGATAGGACCTGGGCCTCTATATTGTTATAAAGTTCTCCACTGAATTCTGGAACTCACTGAAGTCTGAGAATCACCAGTATAAGGTAATGGAAATAAAATGTGAAGAGTCCTTGCATTTAAGTAACTTAGTCTAGTTAAGGAGGAGATTGGAGAGGAGAGAAAAATTAAACACAAAAGTGAAAACTACTAAGCACCATAAAAGTCACAGATTAATTAATTGGTTGCATAGGAGACAGTGAAGAGAGCACCATCCAAAGCATGAAGCATAGTGTTAGAGGCAACATGTGGGCACTTGGACAGAGCAGGCTTTCCAGAGAACTGCAAACTGTGCCTGGAGCTCAGGGTGTGGGGAATAAAGTGTTGTGTGCACCCCAGAGGATTCTGAGGTCAGTCCTCAAGAATTCCTTGTTAAATATTAGTCATTATCCAAGAACCTCTCAAGTGCTCACTATGTGCCAGGCTATGGTACAAATGAGATAAGGAAGGAGGGCCTGATGTATAGCCTAGCTCAGCAGGTAGTAAGAATTCAATCATACATATCCTATATGAAAGGAACTCTTGAAGCCTTGTGGAAGGTGAAACTCATCTTGCTTAGAGGAGTCTAGGGATTCTTTATTGTTTGTGTAAAAATCAAGTTAGTTCTTTTTTTTCCTTCAGTACTGGAGACTGATTGAACCAAAGGCCTTTGCATAGAGACACATCCCTAGCACCATTTTAGTCTTCATTCTGAGATAAGGTCTCACTGTTGTCCAAGCTGGGCTCGATATCAGGATTCTCCAGTCTCAGTCCTCCAGAGGTCTGGGATTACAGGCATGTGCCACCACATCCGGTTCAAGTTATGTCTTAAGGAATTTCACTGAAGGGAACAACATGTTCTAAATTATGGAGATTTTTAATAGCTTTGTGAGTTCAGGAGAAGATGGATTTTTAAGAGAGCAACAGGCTTCCTATAACATGCTAAAGATTATGGATATTGTCCTTTCAGCAAAGTGACTGTAGAATTTTAATTAGGAAAATTAAACAAAGTCTTTAAAGAATGATAAATCTTGAAATACTAAGCGTAGACTCTAAAGGAAGGGGGTACCACAGATATTCCATTATAATTATCTGAATGATAGATGATGAGGTTCAGCATTGGTGATAGAGAGGAAAGGCACTTAGGATACATACTTCTGAGTTCTGCATTATTGGACTCTATCACCAAAGATGCATGAGTGTAGTTTATTATGCTCATTTTGCAGAGTCCATAAGACTGGTCTGGTGGTTGGGAAGAAAATAGGACTGGAAATATCTAAATGAGTCATAGACTTATGGATGCTGGACAAGAAGGTCAACCAGGAAGAGCATGCAGAACAAGAGGACCATACAAATGTGGACTCCTGGGATCACCCCAACTGAAGGAGGACATGTCAGAGGAGGAGAAGAGCTGAACAGAGGAATACAGTGGAACATTGAGTAAACCAAGTTTCCAACAAAGCATGAACATGGTCCCTGTTAAGAAGGGGTGGCTCTGGGAAATACTCTCAAATGATTTGTTCACCTTGCTAATGGATTACACCCTTGTTTAACTTCATAACTCAAGTTCAAGAAAAACCCAACTGAGGCCTAGATGCCTAATGAAATAAGGTAACAGAAATTCTCGTTATTGAGTGTAAATTATGCCAGGCCCCATGCTAGGCACTTTATGTAATTATTGCAAAATATACACTTTACGTAGGTATTATAAGTATGTGTATTATTATATTAATAGTACCTCACACATATAGCCATAAAATGTTTATATATGGCCATGGGCTATTTAACTGCAGGGATATGTTCTGAAAAATGCATTGTTAGGCAATTTCATCACTGTGTAAAGATCATAGAGTATTCTTACACAAACTCAGATGGCAGAGCTTGCTGCACACCTGGGCTATATGGAATATTATATTTCTACTGGGTTATGAGCTGTACAATATATTATGTTCTGAATACTGTATGGAATTGCAACATAATGATACATATTCATATATCTAGGCAGAAAAGATACAGTAAAAGTTATGTTATAATCTTAAGGAATCACCTTGATATATATGGTCTGTCATTGATTGAAACATTGGTATATCAAACATGACTTTAGTATGAATCCTATCCACATTACTTTGTATGTATTTTTTTTCCATTAAGTTTATTGGTATATTTTAGGTATAAAATACAGTTACATTCATCATTGGGATCTTGTACCTTTACATGATGTATCTTGGTTTTTATT